ACTTCATATTTTCTTGTAATATTTTTCTTACCAGAGGATTACTATATTCAGCTACTTGAAAACTAGTTTCATTTCACCTTTTTATGTATATGATAAGACATCAGAAATAGCGCATATTTTTTGCATTTTGTGCTTTATTAATGTAGACATTATGCATTATATGTTGAATAATTTAGAAGTGTATTCACTTCTATCAGTCTTAAACAAGCTTTTTAGCTATAAAGAAATCTTTAAGACATTTCATTTGCCAGACTCCAACTAACATAAGGATTAATGTTTGTGCAAGAGCCCACCACAGGATATTGCTGTTGGTTTCTTCACTCGTCAATCGAAAGTACTCCTCACGTTCCTGTTGAAAAAAGGGAAAAGGCATAATTATTTGATTTAAAAAAAAAATCTAAGTACAGTACTTGATGCTGCCACCTGGTATCAAGGCATGTGTTGTCTGTTCACGTACTAGAGAGAATGAACAAGCCCTATACAATGTTCTCTTCTTAACTATTATCAATTTGATGAAAATAAGATTTTGAACTTACTCTTATCCATATTACTATCAGGGTTGCAAATCACTGCTTGAGCGCTGAACAACAGGTTATGTAAGGTTGGCTTTTGTGCTGCAGTGAAAGTGTGAGCAGAAGTTTCATATGGTCATGGGTTGGGCTGGGCATTAGATATAGTTCTTTAAGCACATGCATACGTCCTATTGAAGTCAGTAGGACTAAAAACACATGCATAAATGTTAAACATATGCTTATGTGCTCTGCTGAACAGGGATGGACTTAAGCACAGACTTTTTTTTTCCCTGAATTGGAACCACAATAAGGCACTTAGGGCCATACATTTAAAGGTATATAGGCATCTGAAGAAGCAACTAGGTGCCTGGAACTAGATTCACAAAAGGGACTTAGATGTTGCAACACTGCAATCTGACCCTTCACTCCAAATTTCCTTCTCTGGGACCTGCTCCGGCCCCTGTTAAAGACAATGACAAAACACCATTGATTTCAAAGGTATCGGATCACATCCTGGGCTTTATTCCTACTACTAAATTGGAGCAACTTGCATACACCTCCACTCTCATGACCGCAGGATTGAGTTCCCTTTTCCAGCCTAACAGACTTGTTTTTTAACCTTGTATGTGCATATGCACTAGTCTGCACAAGCATCATGCAGGATGAAGCTCAGAAAGTCTCACGGGGCTTCCTTAATTACTTTTTCTTCTATTTTAGAGAGAATTGTTCTAGATAGAAAAATTAGAACACACTGCAAAAATCCAGTGTTGTTATGCTTAATGAGCTTATAGCTGGCACAGGCACAAAGATTTCAATCAATAATATGCACTATATAGTAATAACACTCATAGAATTAATTCCTACATTGCAATCTCTGTCCAAAGAAAATGTTTGTGTTTAAAACATTCTTCATAGATATTGATCTTACAAATAGTGCATGTGTGCAAAATCATAGAATATCAGGGTTGGAAGGGACCTCAGGAGGTCATCTAGTCCAACCCCCTGCTCAAAGCAGGACCAATCCCCAATTTTTGCCCCAGATCCCTAAATGGCCCCCTCAAAGATTGAACTCACAACTCTGGGTTTAGCAGGCCAATGCTCAAACCACTGAGCTATCCATGGCCACTCACATCTGCATTGTTAGAATAGGGGTCTGTGGTGCTAAGCACCACAGTTAGCATTGTAGTTCCTATTATTAGCAAAAATTACTACTATGCATGCTCAAACAGCTTTTTTAACATTGCAACTCACATTTATTTGTTTCATTGCTTTATTTATATACAACTAGATCTTGTAAGTGTCCTCCTTTTCTATCCTGTGCATCCATATTAGGACTATTGAAACCATGGCTCAGACATGTACAAGGGAGATACTTTCTCCCTTGCAAGCAACTGGTCAGAGAAGATGAATAGAGTGGCAGCTAAATGCTATAATCTATCCCTTATTTATTTAATTTTTGTGAAAATAATGAGAGGCCCTCGTCCTCTTTGAAGAGGAGTGAAACTGAAATTACCACTCTTGTGTTCTGTTAACCAAAAAGTGTCTACAAATTGCTGTTGCAAATGGAAGGATTTTACTCAGTCCTTCTAAAACAAATTCACTTTTAGGTTGAGATTAAGAATTGAGAATCTCAGCCCAAAATAGTAATTTATCACAAAGTTATGAGCAAGTGAAAATAGAATTTAAATGAAAATCTGAAGCACATACAACTTGAATTATAGAAGTTATGGCCAGCAAAACTAAAATTAACCAAATGATTTAATTAGTGGAAAGTACTGTCGAGTAAAACTGATCGTTATATAAAGAATAATTAAAAATCAATGCTTAGCTTATATACTGTATTTTGCTTTACAGCTTCAAAGTGTTTTACAAACCTTAATGTGTATTGTTCAGTTTTAAGTAATAACTTACATACTGTAGAATCATTTTGGTTAAAATATTAATAGTACTTTTAATAACATTTAATTTAAAATAATACTACAACTAAATATTGTAATATGCCACCCAACATTTTACTTTCCAAATCCAGATGTTTCCATGCATTATTCTTTCATACTTCCATTAGGGAACAAACATACTCTGTGATAGTTTTGTTCTTTGGATATGTGATGAATTTGCTCAATTAGATGTCCGAGTCTAAAGTTAACTTCATTAACTTTGTCCTTGGCTTGAGCGATAGCTTCATCAAGAAAATGCTCTCCAACTCTAATGTCCAAGTGGATACGCTATGAACACAACAACAACAATTATTAGTCCCATGGATTTATGGTGTGGTTTTTTTTTTTTTTTTTTTTTAAAAAGTCTTCAGAAACAAAGTGAGTCATAAATAACAAAGGTGTCCTTTTAGCCTTCTTGTAGGAACGGTATTTAACTTATTTATAGATGTCCTTACTAAAGAGATAAGATATTTAAAATTAATATATTTCAAGGTTTTAATCTTTAATTACACAAATTTACATACTTTGTTATTAGTGTTGTATTTTATACTGATGCTATTGATTCGACCAGTATGAACTATTTATTATAGTGTGTCCAACAAAGGGCAAAAAAAGAACATTCTTAGGACTAACCACTCTAATTAAAAATTGATACCATTATCAATCCTTTTTTTTAATACTCTTCCCACTTAGTCAGGTTGTAGCTGAAGCAAAGTCAGAAACAGAGATAATGAGAATCAGTCCTACGTCTTCCACCCGGCATAGTGTAGCACTTCCAGTAGGTTATTAAAGATGCATCTGAAGGCAATTTCCTCCAGTAACTTCCAAAGTTTAGCTTAGTTTATAATGATAAAAAGAACAATAAATATATGATTCATGTGTGGCTCTCTCTCACGAAAGCTTATGCTCAAATAAATTTGTTAGTCTAAGATGCCCCAAGTACTCCTTTTCTATTTTGCGGATACAGACTAACACGGCTGCTACTCTGAAACCTGTCAAAGTTTATAGATTTCAGAGGAACAGCCGTGTTAGTCTGTATTCGCAAAAAGAAAAGGAGTACTTGTGGCACCTTAGAGACTAAGGTGCCACAAGTACTCCTTTTCTTTTTGCGAAAGTTTATAGAGTTATTGCTCAAAGAAATTGGAGTGACAGAAATGTAACAGCTTTCAGATAAGTGTGCTTTTGTACCTGCATTTGTGTTGATAAACCAGTCCCCTTATAACATTTCATCATATTAATCAGGACTTTGAAGCTTTACATAATCAAGGTGCTGTACAAACATTAATTAATCTGCACTGTATTAGACTGACTACGCCCTGACTCCTTGGACATGAAAGGAAAGTCTGTTTCATCTCTTCATCTTCTGAGCTCCAGCATTATATTTTGCAATCACTAGGAAATGTCATATATTGACTGAAGAGTCATCTGCAATATCTGAGATAATTCATCAAAGCAAGATTCTTCTAGTTTCAAACACTGACCACAGCCAAATAATACAGGATGCTCTGCATGGGTGGAGCTCCATTGAATTCAGGAAGTCCAAAGGTCCACCTATGTGGAATTGCTTTGCAAGATCAAAGAGCAACATAGAACAAATGGATCGACTGCGATACTTTCATAATCCCTTCACTCGTCATTAATTATGCTCCTAGACCTCTATACTGTATGTCCATTTGTCTTCCAGAGCCTGTATTTAGATAGGACAGATATCATCATTAAAAAAAATATTCAAGAAATACTCTTACCAGTTTACTTCCTCCAAATGAGATAAGCTTTGTGGAGTTAGACTGCAAACAGATATTATGCTCCCCAGGTAAGTGTGACGTAAAAGAGAATGTTCCTTGTGGACCATACAATTTTGACATCAGTAGCTGTAATGTGTTAAGTGTATTTTTTTATTTATGAACTATAGATATTAACATAAAAATAAAATTCTATGTATCATACCTCAGAATATATTTAACATTTTAAACTTGTATTTATATTAATAATATAATATAATTAATATTCAAGTAACCTAAGTTTCACATTTTATTTAGGGAATAAAAACCTAGAAAAAATGTGGTCCACACTGAGGACTAAAACTTGTCTATAGACACTAAATTAAAGTCAAAATTGTGTGTTTAAGCATAGCTCCTAAGTCCTGACTTTGGCACATAAATAACTAGCCTGATTTTCAAAAATGTAGAACATCCAATGGCAATGAAGGTAGTTGTTGTGGATTGCTGGTATATGCATCCTGATGATTAATCTAATATTTTTGGTTTAATTTATCATCTCCTTTTCTACTGAGTACCCTTCTTCTCTTATTGACCTTAATGACAACCAACATGTGCTCTGCACTTTTGAAAATCAGCCCACTTATTTAGCTGCTTAAATATGGATTTAGGAACCTAATTTTAGGCACCTATTTTTAAAAATATTGTCCATTCCCCTTAGATTGTATGACCTTCCTGTTCCAAGAGTCAGTACAAATGCCTCCAAAAATGTGAATAATAAGTTTTACCTCCTTAGCAGGAGTTGTAACGGTCACAAACATTCCCAAACCAGGAGCAGATTCAAGAAACCTGTGTTCATGTATGTCCCATTGCTGTACCTTGTAACTCCCTGAGAAGACAGATACAAATCTGTTAATTACAAGTTAGTATATTAAATATCTTTCACTTTTTCATTTCACATCAAGTCACTATAAAAACAAAATTAAGTACAAGATAACTTACATATTTAATAGAATTATGATTTTGTCCAGTTCACCATATAATTAGATTGTGGCATTTTGCACCACAATGGAGTGAGCAAGAAGTTACAAACTAATGAAAGAAAAGTGACAATTTATTATCATTGCCTTGCATGCTCTGGCCTGGTTAGCAAGCCATGGCAGATCGTCCCAAAAGTTCAGGTATCCATTACTCTAGTTACGTTTATCTTTTATGCAGCCCCCAGCACTTATGAACAACAAGCTATCAGCTCTTTGATGGTTCCCTGGCAATCTTGCATATTTCTCCTTCTCAAATAAGGGCTTTTTGCTTTCTCATTATCTGGGAAGATTTTAATGCACTCACTATAAAACATAGTGGAATGGTTTCTTTCTTTTTTTTAAGCAGGTGTTGAATGAGGTCCTGAGCACTGCTAAACAGAAAATGCAGATCTCACGTTGGTGGGGAGAGTGGCAAAACCATGCTGTAATAGGTTGTAGGAGTAATGGTTGACTAAACCAGAATTCCTCCAAGGAAGCACATACTGCAATGGCATCTGTAGAAATAGGTGCTTTGTGTGCTTTCCATCTTAGCTCAGCCAGCTCTTCTGGTCAGTGCAGAGGACTCTTGTAGCAACGTGCATGGAACTTGGAGGGACGAGCACAGGAGATAGAAGGGAAGAGTTTGGAGATGGCATCAAGAAGCCATTCTGTGCGCACACAGCTTGAATGCTAGCTGCTATCACAGCAATTCTGTGATTCTCTTAATAAAGAGCTAGTTTAAATTCAGAAACATGGAGTCCTCTCATGTTATTACTCAGCATGCAATACACGACACAACTGTAACACTTGCATGGCTAGCATGGAGCAGTAGCTATAGTGCATTTCCATATTGTGACCGGCCCTTGTTTTGGGAGTAAAGAAGGAAATACTCTTTGTGCCTTGTGACAAAGTTCCTCCTCTACCTTGGTGGGTCCTGCGCTTATTGGCGGATTTGCTTGCCTCAGAGATTCACGGCTGCCCTCAGTTTGGCCACTTTTGCTAGTGACTCAAACCTGCTGTTCACTCAGCTAACCTCATCACTGGCCAGCATGGGGAAAGGGAGGAGAACAATCCCCACAGTCTCTACTGACCCACTTAGTGGGTCGGGGAATAGGCCAAGGACCTTCCCCTCTTGTGGGACCCACAGATCAGGTCACCTCCTCTTGTCTCAAATAGGGAGTTGAGGGGGATGGGGGGAACCCGGGACTGCCCTCTACTCCGAGATCCAGCCCAGGGCCCTGTGGATTACAACTGTCTACAGGTTTCAGAGTCTACAGTCTGTCTACAGTGTCTCTTGTAACAGCTGCGTGACAGCTACAACTCCCTGGGCTACTTCCCCATGGCCTCCTCCCAACACCTTCTTTACTCTCACCACAGGATCTTCCTCCTGAAGCCTGATCACACTTGTACTCCTCAGTCCCCCAGCAGCACATGTTCTCACTCCCTGCTCCTTGCACAACCTCCCCTAACTGATGGGAGGTCCTTTTTAAACCAGGTGTCCTGATTAGACTGCATGCCATAATTGATTCTAGTATGTTCTTAATTAGCTCCAGGTGTCTTAATTAGCTTGCCTGTCTTAATTGGTTCTAGCAGGTTCTTGATTGCTCTAGTGCAGCTCCTGCTCTGGTCATTCAGGGAACAGAAAACTGTTCATCCAGTGGCCAGTATATTTGCCTTCTACCAGACTCCTGTACCCCACTGGTCTGGGTCTGTCACAGTGCCATCACCACCACTCATTCACCTAAGCAGGGCCAGCCACAGGGCTTTGGCATTATAAATCAGGCTGTCAGTATTAGAACTTCATAGATTAACATTTTAAATATTAAACACATTGACCATTATGTAGCAACATCTACCTACCAGTAATCAAGGTATCACTTGGAATGTCTTCTATTATGCATTTCTCCTCTCTTTCCCCTGAATGAAAATACAAAGCAGGTGAGACAGCAACCCAGACGCTCAAAAGAATTCCTATTAAGTGGCTCTTCATGATTTTGGTGTATCCTTATTGTACTACTTTTGGAAATGATTAGTTAGAAATGAGCATAGCTCTGTGCTCACTCCTTGTTTGCTGTTTATCAGTGTGGTTTTGGGAAAAAATGTGAGAAAAGACATCTGCTAGTTACTTCAGTTATTTATATATGTGTATGTGCCATCGAATGAGATAAGAAAAAGATAATTTGTGAAGTCTTTCCTAACATGAAAGGAGCAAACTGTTATTTTGTAGCTCAGATATATGAAGTTTTATAGGACTAATTTATAATTCTTTGTGTGCGCACACACACACGAACTACATTAGGAATGAAAGTGCCACAATGGGAAAATGAAATACTTCATTTTTTTCTGAGTTGTATGTGTAACCCTTTGGGGTTTAGAGAGCATGACCCCTTTAAATCTTTTTCCTATTGGGGAGGGGGAGCAGTGAGAAAAAGGAGGGAAACTTGGGGGTGTGGCTCTGGAGCCCCGGGAGAGAAGGCCTGCAGCAGGGAGGCTCTGGACAAAGTGAAGGGGAGAGAACCTGCCTGAAGCCTGGGAAGGATAGGGCGGCCGATCGGGGACACCCCAGGACAGGAGCCAGGAGCAGCACTGTGCAAGGGAGGAATTGCCTGAGAAAGACAGGCCAGAGCTGGACCCAGTATCACTGCTGCCCAGAGCTGCACTGGGCTGTGAGAACTGGGGCTTGTGACTCTGCATTGGAAATAAGGAGGGGTGCTGCTAGTTAGTTAAGTGGGGAGCTTGTCGCTCTGTGTGGCTTTGCAGAGAGTGGCAGAAGAGGGCACCAGACTGGTTGTTGGGGAAAGTTCACTGGTGCCGAAGACAATCAGGAGCACCCAAGATTCAGCAGTGGACTGGAACTTTGCTCAGGACTCCTGAACTTTGTGTGCAGACACATTGCTCGGTGTCTGCCCTTTCAGACTGTGCTACCACTGGGCCTGTGGGGCCTTGGTTTGGATGCAACCCTGTTGTACTGCTCCCCCTACATTTCCCCTTGTTGTTTTTCTCCTCTCATCCCTCTGTAAATAAACATCTCCCTTTGTTATATCCATTGTTCTTTTCCTGTGGGTGGGTGTGTTCACTCTGGGGGGTTTGGAACAGGTGCCTCTGGGGTGGAAGAAATTTTTCCTGCTGCATTCCTGTGTGCGCCGTCTCTTGGCCAGAGCTGCCTGCAGAGCAGACTCCATCTTGGCCAGAAGGGCGCTGAAGTTAAATATGTTTTTACTGTGTTTGTCAGCTTTGCCAGTTACTGCTGGGTTTTTGGTCCAGTGGGTCAGCTGAGTATTCTCTCTGTGTGTATTTAAAAATAAAATCCAGCACAGCTGGCTTCATAGTCAATAATATGGCCAAGATCACTTAGTAGTGGAATGTCCCTATCAATGGATGTTGTCATTATGAGAAATCAAAATTGTTTGGGGAGGGGTGTAGATAAATTAAATTTCTCTCTTGCTCCTAAGTTCAACAAATAAGAGAAAAATAGATTAAAATAAACTATTCTCTGCTTCCAATTCCAGCATCACTGCACTGTGTGGGATAGTTTCTGTCTATTGAGTTGCCTGGCAACATCTCAAAGTTTTGCTGTGTTATTATTTCTGTTCATCTGTCAAAAGGGATCTCTGTTGTGTATGTGCTAGTGACCAAAAATATCTTTTTCCAGGAAAGGTCTCCTTCTATGGCACAGGATCATTCAAAAAAAAAAAAGTATTTTCTATGGAAAGGATGTATTTTGCAGTATAATGCAGCTTTACATTTTGCTGGGGCTTCGCTCAGCCCAGGACAAGGCAAACATTTTTGGCAGTCCTCTTTCCCTGTTTGTGTGTCTCTGTGCTCGTCTGGGGTCTCAGTCACTGCAGGGCTCAACTCTGCCTCTTGCTTCCCCAGTATGAGTAGGTAGTGAGGTGGCTGCCATAGTCATAGCTTTCTTCAAGCTATCTTAGGGTCTAATTCAAAGCCCACTGAAATCCACGGAAATATTCCCATTGGTTTCAGTGGACATTGGATTGGACCACTGATGTTCATACATAGCCTGGGAGGCAAGGCATTGCTAAGCAGGATGGACAATAATTTAGTGGATTCTTCTCACATTCAGACACTCCAGATGCCTTCTTTTTGTTGTGCCTTCATTTCATGGGAAGAGAACAGATTTTTGCACTGCGAGCCTCTATTCTATTCAGATTCTTATAAAACATTCATCATAGAATCAGAGATTAGGGTTGGAAGACACCTCAGGAGGTGTTACCCTTCTTGTTACCCTTCTCATCCCTTGCTAGCTGCAACTCCAGTTGTGCTTTGGCCTTCCTGATTACACCCCAGCAGGCTTGAGCAATATATTTATACTCCTCCCTAGTCATCTGTCCAAGTTTCCACTTCTTGTAAGCTTCTTTCTTGTGTATAAGCTCACCAAAGATTTCTCTGTTAAGCCAAGCTGGTTGCCTGCCATATTCGCTATACTTTCTGCACATTGGGATGGTTTATTCCTGCACCCTCAGTAAGGCTTCTTTAAAATACAGACAGCTCTCCTAGACTCCCTTCCCCCTCATATTAGCCTCACAGGGGATCCTGCCCATCAGTTCCCTGAGGGAGTCAGATTCTGCTTTTCTGACATCCAGGGTCTGTATTCTGCTGCTCTCCTTTCTTCGTTTTGTCAGGATCCTGAACTCAACCATCTCATGGTCACTGCTGCCCAGGTTCCACCCACTTCTACTTCCCCTACCAATTGTTCCCTGTTTGTGAGCAGCAGGTCAAGAGGAGCACAGCCCCTAGTTGGTTCCTCCAGCACTTGCACCAGGAAGTTGTCCCCTACACTTTCCAAAAACTTCCTGGATTGTCTCTGCACTGCTGTATTGCTCTCCCAGCAGATGTCAGGGTGATTAAAGTCTCCCATGAGAACCAGGGCCAGTGATCTGGAAACTTCTGTTAGTTGTCCACAGAAAGCCTTGTCTACCTCATCCTCCTGGCCTGGTGGTCTATAGCAGATGCCCACCCTTGTTGCTCTCGCCTCTAAACTTAACCCAAAGACTCTCAACCGGCTTTTCTCCAGTTTCATATTGGAGCTCTGAGCAATCATACTGCTCTCTTACATACAGTGCAACTCCTCCACCTTTTCTCCCCGGCCTGTCCTTCCTGAACAGTTTATACCCATCCATGACAGTGCTCCAGTCATGTGAGTTACTCCACCAAGTCTCTGTTATTCCAATCACATCATAGTTCCTTGACTGTGCCAGGACTTCCAGTTCTCCCTGCTTGTTTCCTAGGCTTCTTGCATTTGTGTATAGGCACTTGAGACAACTCGCTGATCGTCCCTCTTTCTCAGTATGAGGCAGGAGCCCTCCCCTCTCGCGCTCTCCTGCTCATGCTTCCTTCCGGTATCCCACTTCCCCACTTACCTCCAGGCTTAGGTCACCATCCCCTGGCTAACCTAGTTTAAAGCCCTCCTCACTAGGTTAGCAAGCCTGCCTGCAAAGATGCTGTTCCGTCTCTTCATTAGGTGGATTCCATCTCTTCCTAGCAATCCTTCTTCCTGGAACAACATCCCATGGTCGAAGAATCCAAAGCCCTCTCTCAGACACCACCTGCGTAACCATGCATTTACCTCCACAATTCGATGGTCCCTACCTGGGCCTTTTCCTTCAACAGGGAGGATGGAGAAGAACACAACTTGCGCCTCAAATTCCTTTATCCTTCTTCCCAGAGCCACATAGTCTGCAGTGACCTGCTCAAGGTCATTCTTGGCAGTATCATTGGTGCCCACATGGAGTAGTAGGAAGGGGTAGCGTTCCTAGCAGACATTCCATCACATCCTGAATTCTAGCTCCAGGCAAGCAGCACACTTCTTGAGTTTCCCGGTCTGGACGGCAGATTGATGACTCCGTCCCCCTTAGGAGGGAGTCTCTGACCATCACCACCCATCTCCTCCTCTTGGGAGTAGTGGTTGTGGAACTGCCATCCCTAGGACAATACATCCCATGCCTTCCAGTCAATGGGGGTCTCCTTCTGATCCCTTCCCTCAAATGACTCTTCCAAACCATTCTCCACCATAGTACCTGTGCAGAGAACCTGAAAACGGTTTCTTACCTGTATCTGCAGTGGAGATACATGGGTTCTCCTCATCTTCTGGAGGTCACATGCTGCCAATTTTCTTCCCCTTTCTGCACTGCCCTCTCAGATTCTTCAGCATGCTGTGCCTGCAATACCAAATGCCGACTTCTATCCAAAAAATCTTCATTTTCTCTGAGGCAATGCAGGGTCGATACTTGGGTCTCTAGTCCTTTAACCTTCTCTTCCAATATGGAGACCAGCTTGCACTTCGTACAGACGAAGTTGCTTCTATCCTCTGGGAGAAAGACAAACATGGCATATCCTGTGCAGGTCACAACCACTGATTGCTCACTGTCCATAATCTCTTTCTTCTAAGAGCCTCTTCAGATGTTGTATTTACTGCTCACAAAAGCCTGAAAGGCAAACAAAAATTCTGTGGGAACTCCCCCGCAAGCGAACTCCCAGGCGAACTCCATTTGTTCGCAACTGGCTGCCTTTTTATAAGGCTGCTGGCTCGAAGCACTTGGCCCACCTTAAAGCCTTCCCGCCAATCAACCACTCAAGGCCCACCTGGAACAAAGCACTCCCAATTCACACTTTTCAAACAAACAAATACATGGTCAAACAGTCCCTGCAACTAGCTCCAGTCAAATGGTCACAGCAGACAGACACTCGGATATTCACCCCACCAGCTCAAAATACATCCCTCTTAATGTAGCATTCATCATAGTACGAGAGCCCCTTCCAGTAGTTGGTTCACTCACCTTCTCCCCAAGTGGACAAGTGTGCACTGGACACACACATTTTGGTACATTTATGATAGAAAAAGATAAGGAAAAATATGCCTTGCATTTAGAGTGGAAGGTGGTGAGGCTTGTAATGGCCTGCAGTTCCTATTGGAGTTCCTTTCCTAGTCTTTGCCCAGCTCCAGGAAAGCTCTGTCTCCTGCACAGACAAACTTTATTTTTATTGCAGAAAGTTCCATTGTGCCAGAGGAGCAAAATTGTCGACCACATCCTCATCCCGGAGCTTTAGTCAATCTTTTAGTTACTCTGGGCACAGACCATTGAGCACCTTGCAGATAAAGACTAAGACCTTGCACTTGATATGATATTCTATGAGAAGACAATGTAGGGAGTGGAGGACGGGACTGATGTGTTCGCAGTAGCCAGTGTTGCTGAGCAGACATGATGCAATGTTGTGTAACTAAGCACTAAAGGCTTCATTCCCAGGTATATTGCATTGCTATAGTGCAGCCAAGAGGTGACAAACATGTGAGTAACTGTGATTAGGTCATCGTTTGCCAGGATGAGACAAACTCCTCGCACTCGTCGATGCTGCTATGTGAGATCTTAACATCAGTGAGGAATCCAGGAACATTCCTAAGCTACAGACTAAATTGGCCTATAGTGAGGGAGTACCATCAACCAAAGGAGACATTCCACTGTGGTTGCAAACCTTTAAAAATGCTTTCCTCTGCCTATTAACATAACCTCTGTCTTGCTTGAGTTCAGCTTCAACCTGTTGGTTTTTTTCCATGAGCTGATGTCGTTCAAATTGTGGGCCATCTTGGTGGTAGTGGTATCATATATTGTGAAACACATGCAGAGCAGTGTATCATCTGCATATTGCTGGCACTTGGCATCTGACCAGTTCACTCTATGCATGTATGTAGCTGTTGAATAGAACAAAGACAGAGTTGATCCTTTTGAGACTCCACAAGTGAGCGGTCTAATAATAGAGGTGCAGTTTCTTATCAAAGCTGCAGAGACGTTCAGGAGGATGAGAGTCTCTCCTCTATGCATTGATTACAGGAGATCATCAGTTCCTCTAAAGCCTGGCCTGAATCTAGATTGTGCCATAAGGTAAGGTGAGGAAAGAACAACCACCAGGTATGTTGTAAACCCAGAGTAGTTTTCTGAGCCATATGGAGTTTCCTTCCTTCACTGTACCAGCCCTTAATCTCCACGAAAGGACACCTATCCACAGAAATTTTTTGCAGCCTCTGTCACAATCTGCAAATGACACACTTGGATATCTTTGTGATGCCCCAGTATCATAGTGTCCTCTACAGTTTCCACAAGGTGATCCGCAAGATTCTGGGAGACAGTGCCTTCACAGTTGACTTCCCAGAATAAGTTTGTTTCACAATAGCTGCTTCAGTTGTTAATCATAGAACCATAGAATAGCAGGGTTGGAAGGGACCTCAGGAGGTCATCTAGTCCAACCCCCGCTCAAAGCAGGACCAATCCCCAACTAAATCATCCCAGTCAGGGCTTTGTCAAGCCTAACCATAAAAACTTCAAAAGGAAGGAGATTCCACCACCTCCCTAGGTAACCCATTCCAGTGCTTCACCACCCTCCTAGTGAAAAAGTTTTTCCTAATATCCAACCTACACCTCCCCCACTGCAACTTGAGACCATTACTCCTTGTTCTGTCATCTGCTACCACTGAGAACAGTCTAGAGCCATCCTCTTTGGAACCCCCTTTCAGGTAGTTGAAAGCAGCTGTCAAATACCCCCTCATTCTTCTCTTCCACAGACTAAACAATCCCAGTTCCCTCAGCCTCTCTTCATAAGTCATGTGTTCCAATCCCCTAATCATTTTTGTTGCCCTCCGCTGGACGATTTCCAATTTTTTCACATCCTTCTTGTAGTGTGGGGCCCAAAACTGGACACAGTACTCCAGATGAGGCCTCACCAATGTTGAATAGAGGGGAACGACCACGTCCCTCGATCTGCTGGTAATGCCCCTACTTATACAGTGCAAAACGCCATTGGCCTTCTTGGCAACAAGGGCACATTGTTGACTCTCATACAACTTCTCGTCCACTGTAACCCCTAAGTCCTTTTCTGCAGAACTGCTGCCTAGCCATTCAGTCCCTAGTCTGTAGCGGTGCATAGGATTCTTCCATCCTAAGTGCAGGACTCTGCCCTTGTCTTTGCTGAACCTCATCAAATTTCTTTTGGCCCAATCCTCTAATTTGTCTAGGTCCCTCTGTATCCTATCCCTACCCTCCAGAGTATTTTTCTCTCCTCCCAGTTTAGTGTCATCTGCAAACTTTGCTGAGGGTGCAATCCACGCCATCCTCCAGATTATTAATGAAGATATTGAACAAAACCGGCCCCAGGACCGACCCTTGGGGCACTCCACTTGATACCGGCTGCCAACTAGACATGGAGCCATTGATCACTACCCGTTGAGCCCGACAATCTAGCCAGCTTTCTATCCACGTTATAGTCCATTCATCCAGCCCATACTTCTTTAACTTGCTGGCAAGAATACTGTGAGAGATGGTGTCAAAAGCTTTGCTAAAGTCAAGGAATAACACTCCACTGCTTCCCCCCATCCAGTTATCGAGCCAGTTATCTCGTCATAGAAGGCAATTAGATTAGTCAGGCATGACTTGCCCTTGGTGAATCCATGCTGACTATTCCTGATCACTTTCCTCTCCTCTAAGTGCTTCAGAATTGATTCCTTGAGGACCTGCTCCATGATTTTTCCAGGGAATGATGTGAGGCTGTCTGGCCTGTAGCTCCCCGGAACCTCCTCCTTCCCATTTTTAAAGATGGGCACTACATTAGCCTTTTTCCAGTCATCCGGGCCCTCCTCCACTCCCCATGAGTTTTCAAAGATAATGGCCAATGGCTCTGCAATCACATCCGCCAACTCCTTTAGCACTCTCGGATGCAGCGCATCTGGCCCCATGGACTTTTGCTTGTCCAGCTTTTCTAAATAGTCCCGAACCATTTCTTTCTCCACAGAGGGCTGCTCACCTCCTCCCCATGCTGTACTGCCCAGTGCAGTAGTCTGGGAGCTGACCTTGTTTGTGAAGACAGAGGCAAAAAAAGCATTGAGTACATTAGCTTTTTCCACATCTTCTGTCTCTAGGTTGCCCCCCTCATTCAGTAAGGGGCCCACACTTTCCTTGACTTTCTTTTTGTTGCTAACATACCTGAAGAAACCCTTCTTGTTACTCTTAACATCTCTTGCTAGCTGCAACTCCAAGTGCGATTTGGCCTTCCTGATTTCACTCCTGCATGCCTGAGCAATATCTTTATACTCTTTCCTGGTCATTTGTCCAATCTTCCACTTTTTGTAAGCTTCTTTTTTGTGTTTAAGATCAGCAAGGATTTCACTGTTAAGCCAAGCTGGTCGCCTGCCATATTTACTATACTTTCTACACATTGGGATGGTTTGTCCCTGTAACCTCAATAAGGATTCTTTAAATATAGCCAGCTCTCCTGGACTCCTTTCCCCCTCATGTTGTTCTCCCAGGGGATCCTTCCCATCAGTTCCCTGAGGGAGTCAAAGTCTGCTTTTCTGAAGTCCAGGGTCTGTATTCTGCTGCGCTCCTTTCTTCCCTGTGTCAGGATCCTGAACTCGACCATCTCATGGTCACTGCTGCCCACGGTCCCATCCACCTTTGCTTCCCCTACTAATTCTTCCCAGTTTGTGAGCAGCAGGTCAAGAAGAGCTCTGCCTCTAGTTGGTTCCTCCAGCACTTGCACCAGGAAATTGTCCCCTGCACTTTCCAAAAACTTCCTGGATTGTCTGTGCACCTCTGTATTGCTCTCCCAGCAGATATCAGGCTGATTGAAGTCTCCCATGAGAACCAGGGCCTGCGATCTAGTAAATTCCGTTTGTTGCCGGAAGAAAGCCTCGTCCACCTCATCCCCCTGGTCTGGTGGTCTATAGCAGACTCCCACCACATCACCCTTGTTGCTCACACTTCTAAACTTACACTTCTAAACTTAATCTAGAGACTCTCAGGTTTTTCTGCAGTTTCATACAGAGCTCTGAGCAGTCATTCTGCTCTCTTACATACAATGCAACTCCCCCATCTTTTCTTGCCTGCCTGTCCTTCCTGAACAGTTTATATCCATCCATGACAGTACTCGAGTCATGTGAGTTATCCCACCAAGTCTCTGTTATTCCAATCACGTCATAGTTCCTTGACTGTGCCAGGACTTCCAGTTCTTCCTGCTTCTTTCCCAGGCTTCTTGCATTTGTGTATAGGCACTTGAGATAACTCGCTGATCGTCCCTCTTTCTCAGTATGAGGCAGGAGCCCTCCCCTCTCGCGCTCTCCTGCTCATGCTTCCTCCCGGTATCCCACATCCCCACTTACCTCAGGGCTTTGGTCTCCTTCCCCCGGTGAACCTAGTTTAAAGCCCTCCTCACTAGGTTAGCCAGCCTGCTTGCGAAGATGCTCTTCCCTCTCTTCATTAGGTGGAGCTCATCTCTGCCTAGCACTCCTCCTTCTTGGAACACCATCCCATGGCCAAAGAATTCAAAGCCTTCTCTCCGACACCACCTGTGTAGCCATTTGTTGACTTCCACGATTTGACAGTCTCTACCCAGGCCTTTTCCTTCCACGGGGAAGATGGACGAGAACATCACTTGCATCTCAAACTCCTTTACCCTTCTTCCCAGAGCCATGTAGTCCACAGCGATTCGCGCAAGGTCATTCTTGGCAGTATCATTGGTGCCTATGTGGAGAAGCAGGAAGCAGTAGCGATCCGAGGGCTTGATGATTCTTGGCAGTCTCTCCGTCACATCGTGAATCCTAGCTCCTGGCAAGCAGCAGATTTCTCGGTTTTCCCGGTCAGGGCGGCAGATAGATGACTCAGTCCCCCTGAGGAGAGAGTCCCTGACCACCACCACCTGCCTCCCTCTCTTGGGAGTGGTGGTCATGGAACCCCCAACCTTAGGACAGTGCATCTCATGCCTTTCAACTGGCAGAGTCTTCTTCTGCTCCCTTCTCCCAGACGTATCATCTGGGCCACTCCCCGCAATGGTACCTGTGGAGAGAACATGAAAACAGTTGCTCACCTGTATCTGCGTTGCTGGTACATGGACGCTCCCCTTTCTTCTTCTGGAGGTCACATGCTGCCAAATTTCTTCACCGTCCTTCTGTCCCCGCTGCGCAGCCTACTCTGAATCTTCAGAATGTTGTGTCCGTAGAAGCATATCCTGACGTCTGTCCAGGAAATCTTCAGTTTCTCTTATGCAACGCAGGGTTGATACTTGTTTCTCCAGGCCTTGAACATTCTCTTCCAATATGGAGACCAGTTTGCACTTTGTACAGACAAAGTCGCTTCTGTCCTCTGGAAGAAAGACAAATATGGCATATCCAATTAAGGTCACAACAGCTGAATGCTCACCATCCATATTACCTTCCTTCTACGAGCTTCCTCAGGAGTTGTAGCAACTACTCAGAGAAGCCGGCAAGATGTAAGCCTCAGTGGGCTCTCCCCAGGCGAACTCCCAGGCAAACTCCCTCTGTTAGCCTCTCTGCTATTCCCCGCTCAGCTGGTTCTCAGCTGACTGGCTTTCTTTAACAGTCAGGCCCACTCAAGGCTCACCTGGAACAAAGCACTCCCAACTGACACTTTTCAAACCATCAAGCACACGGTCAAACTATCAAACTGTCCCCACAACAGACACTCAGATACTCATCAACACAGCCCCCCAATGCAGCACTTAGCATACCTCCTCTCAGACAGATCCCAGGCAAACTCCCTCTGAGTTTACTAGACAAATACAGGCATTTACCTCAGGATTCCCACCTCCTGTGTCAAGGGACTATCCTTCATCCTGATCTGGGGATACAAACAACAAGTATGTGAAAAGCAAAACCTTCAACACAGCAGATTTACCATACAAATAAGTGACCATCTCCTGCATGCTAGGAAACCTGGTTATAAATGCACCCTCATGGCCAAGATTGAGTCTGTTCTTCAGGTAGCTCCGGCCAACAAAAGGCATCTGCAGGAATGCATCAGGGAAATTCTCCCCCACCTGTTCCAAACCCTCTGGTGTAAACACACACACCGGAAGAGTACAATTTAATATAGGAAAAGGAAATATTTATTTACAGAAGGATGATTGAAGCAAAACAACAGAAGGGAAGATAGGGGGAGTGGTAAAACAGTGTTACATCCAAACACAAGGCTCCACAGGTCCAGTGGTACCACAATACAAAAGGACAGACACCAAGCAATGTGTCTACACTAAGAGTCCAGGAATCCTGTGCAGAGTTCCAGTACAGCAGTGAGTCTTGGGTGCTCTTGCTCGTCTTCAGTGTCAGTAACCTTTCAACAATAAACCCCTCCAGTCCCTTTTCTGCCACTCTCTGCAAACCCACACAGAGTGACAGCCTCCCCACTTAGCTAGCTATAGCCTCCCTCCTTATGTCCAATGCAAGATCACATGCCCCAGTACTCACGGCCCCATCCAGCTCTGGGCAACTGTGATACTGAGTCCAGATCCGGTTTGTCCTTCTCAAGTGATTCCTCCTTAACATGGTGTTCCTCCTGTCTCCTGTCCTGGGGCGTCCCTAGTTGGTCATTCTGTCCCTCCCAGGCTTCGGGCTGATTCTCGGTTGCTTCACTATGTGAGGGCCTGCTTCTTATAGTCGTTCTCTCTGTAGCAACAGACAGACCTATCCTGTCACTCTACCTCTCTCCACACCCCTGGAATAACCAACACTTCCTCTTGCTGCAACAATCAGCACTCCCTCTGCCTCCGGACAAGGTTTTAAAGGGCCAAGCTCTCTCAACCCCAAGGGGGTTACATAAATGCCATACTGGAAGCAGTGGTTGAGTGCTTTTGAAAAACCAGCCTCAATTTGCAGGTGCTGAGTACTTGGAAAAATCTGGCCTTTATTATATATTTCATGTTGTTATACGTTACAACTGTCGTCATGAGATCACGTGGAAAATATTACAAGTTTCTCCTTATCCTCTCATTCCTAGTGTTTGTAACTATCACATATTATGTTTTCACTTAGGATTCTATCATCAGTTCAGGAACATGGACTAGTAATAGGACTTAGAGCCTTTAGCCATTTATCAGTCAACAGTTCAAATTCTGTCCATTAATAGGAATGATGCTGGAGGCTAAATTCATGCCTTGCAGTAACATGGCTGTCTCACAGCCATGAAATGAATGGGGCAAAGAGCAATGAAAATGGATTGGGGAAGGAGCGAGGGAACAGGATATATAAAAGCAGAAAGCATACTTCACGTGTATATTTTAAAACATTTTAAAGTTGTTCTTATACCCTGGATGTAATTGTTTATCTAGGTATTTATACAGTTAAATTAAAAAAAAAAACCCGAAACAGAAAATAAGGAAGACTTCTGTATAGAAAATAAACAAAGAATGGAAAAGGACAAACATAATACAGAATGTGGAGAGACCTGAGAAAAGTTCTTTTCTCCCCAAAATCAGGATTTTTGAGCGCTAATGAACCTGTACGAATGTGGACACAGGAGGAACGTGGAGAAAAAAAAAAGATGTTATAAACAAGAATAAGTGAAACGAGGAGGCATGGAGGACAGGAGAGTGACAATCAGAAGAATACAAGACATCCAGAAATGACAAAAGTTAGGGTTTTTTTAAAAATACTTAGCTGTATTCGACTGGAGCCAAGTGTTTGTTTTAATTGTTTATTCAGTGTTTGGAGGACCAGTATGTACTATGCTGATAAAAGTTCTAATTTCTTCAGGACTCATCAGGATCCTCATCTGAGTCCTATAAAAAAAAAAGTGTCAGAACCTTTAAGTGTTCCTGTACCTAGAGAGAATGCAGTGTGCTGTGTCCCTTTTAATGTCCAAAAATGATTTTCAGAGATGGCATGTTTCAAAATGAACCCACGCAGCCCCATCCAAGATCTTTCTTGTTCATATCTGTGCCTTTCTTATTTTTGTATATTTTCTAGGACAGTGCACTGTAGACCTAAAAAAACCCAACTAGCTTAAAAGTTTTCTGTTGAACTTTTGCATTTCAAAAATCCTTTCCCTATGTTATAACTAAAAACTCTACATAATCCATGGGCTATCATTTTTTCAACCAATTAGCTATTTGAGTAACAATACTGAGAGTGTGGAACAGTTTTTGTTATATTATGCTTTGTGAAATCCATACAGAATTCTGTTTTGAGTCATTTAAAAACAAATCTATAATTTCTCATTTATGCCTCAAAAATTTGTGATTTTTACATAAACAAATAATTCACATCCACATATGCTTTTAAAGAAACATAGACACATTTATTTCATACATGGAGAAAATGGTAAAATTTATAGTCAGCTGAACAGACTTTACAATTTTTCACCAGTTATTTCCCAGTCAGTTTACTTATGTAGGGATCCACACCAAAGATCAGTCAGTTTTTAAATCTGAAAAGAGATTCAACTCAACTGAGTTCAGTGGCTCTCCATTAGTATCCAAACTTTTTAGTGCTTATATGAAGCTTGTGGGCTGAGTAATTTTGTAGTTGGCATTTTTCCAATGTCTGAGGAAAAACAAACCTCCTCCTCTGCATGCATAGGATTCAAGACAAGTTTACTCAGTTATTTTATTGTCCTAACTACGTTACACATCTGGTCACTCTGGTTTATGTAAGCGTTTTCCAAAGAAGTGTGCTCAATTAACCATGATTACAAGAAGTCAACCTTAATGCCAATAAATTATAATAAAACATAATTTACCGCAACATAATAATTAGCTTCATAGGTATAAATAAACAAATTTAAATCTACAAATTCTAATATTTAAGAATGTATATGATAATCTAGATTATATTCAAAAGATTTGTTAACTTAAATGAACTGTGCAGTATGTCCAAAAATTTCTTTTCTGCCACTAGATGGTACTGCAAGAACTTACACAATATTTGTAGGAAGGAATGGGTTCAGTGGATTTTGTTTTGTTTTCCCTGTAAACGATCAAGAACTGCTGGACTAAAATTAACTAATTTTAAAAAAAGTCTTGATATCAAACAATAGAATCAGCATCCAGTCTAATTAAACACTGCAATAAAACATTACATCATACCTGAATTATAAGGAATAGTGACTGACATGGAGTATAGATTCAACTAAATCTAACCTTAATTTAAATGATCTAAATTATTGTCTATTCTTTATTCCACTGGAAAGGAGATTTCAGACACAATTGTCTGGTTCACATTCTATTTCTTCATCCAGGTTTGGACAAGGAGTTCCATTATTGGCAGCTTGAAGGCGTACATAACGAGTTCTGGTTTTGGTCCCTATCTTTCCACAAGTACCTCTGCAAAGACCCCAGGAAGACCACAGTGAAATCTCACAGTCCAGTGGTGTTTCTGTAACATATATAAGAAGAGGTGATTTGACAGAAATATGTGCTTAAGGCAAACACATAGTTGGCAAAATGTACAAAACTATTATCAAATTGTCCTTACTTATACAAATATAAGGCTGATGTTTGTTTTGCTACATTACTGATGATATTAAAAAGATCTACTTAAAAAAACAAATTAACATGATTTTAATTTTACATTCCTTTAATAAAAGCCATATGTTGTCTAGTAAATAAAGACATCTGTTTTCAGCTCCTGAAAAGGTAGACTTCTTTAGTTTAATGTAGAGGTTGTTTGGAGGTACTGCATTAATTATGGTGTAATAGTTATTTAGTGGAGAATTTTAAATGGAAAACTGTTTCAAATGAGCATGCTCCGAAAATATAATTATATTTTACTGTCATCTCACTACTAACAACTCATTTGCCCTTGCATGGCTTGCTGGATAATACCAGGATTAAGATTTTTATCAAGTTTATTTATATACTCTGGGACAACTTTGTATATATTGTTCCTATTCATTTCATTTTCCATTTAAGTCCTAGTCTATTCTTCCTCATGAGTAAAGAAAATGCTAATTCTTTTTATGGCTAAATCTTCTTGTAGTTAGTTTTTGGCAAGAAAAGTTAAAGCACCTTTTATACACAGTCTTCCCTTTGCCAATAAAATATATTGTATAACTGAAAGCCTTTTAACACTAATATACTGTAAATTTACTACAACCAAATAAATCAGAAATTCTGTAAAGTAATATAGAAATATGAATGATATGCGAGTTATAAAATTCTCAAAGAAAATATACAGATACTCTCTCCCTCTGCAGTTGGGAGGAAAGATGTCTGTAGTCACGGATCTCTATAGACCTTGAGTGGATGGGGAACATGGTTTGACCTTTGGAAATTAAATCTTTCCTTATGCCTGTGAAGTAACTTTTTTTATATTGATTAAGGTACTGGTATATACACAAAGTGGAGACTTCTATGAATGTCCAACAAATGCTTTACTTACAATGAATTGCTCTGATTCAGTATGTGTTGCTCTTATTTTATAATATCTCCTGAATTACTAAAATTTTTAATGGCGTAGAGAAATGGACTTGTATAGAAAGCTTAAAAGAACTAAATGTGTAGTTTGGCTAAACAATTACTATTATCTCATCAAATGTATTACAAATATATTACATAATCTGTTGTAGTTTGGTACTGTTTACAGCAGTGGTTCTCAAACTTTTGTATTGGTGACCCCTTTCAGAAAGCAAGCCTCTGAGTGTGACCCCCCCTTATAAATTAAAAACACTTTTAAAATATATTTAGCACTACTATAAATGCTGGAGACAAAGCGGGGTTTGGGGTGAAGGCTGACAGCTCGCAACCCCCCAGGTAATAACCTTGTGATGCCCTGAGGGGTCCCTGCACCCAATTTGAGAACCACTGATTTATAGTATCTACTATGGGGATGCCCAGTATTGGAACACTTGAGGGTGGGGGCGGAGGGGTTTTTTAACCTACACTGAGGCACATTAATTAACTTTGTGGGGAAGTTAATACAGCATGTTGCTCTAGCTAGCACTTCCAGTTACTCACATTTATGGGGAAATAAAATAAAATAAATAAATAGTCTCTAAAAATACCATATTGGCTGACTTCCAACTCTTGGATCTTAAGCTTTCAGGACAAGACAAACCCATCTGTCTTAGGCTAGGGAGCTGAGACCCAAGAATGAGAATCCTGCATGATATCTTCAAAGTAACATACTAAGGACCCAGTACAGGAAGCACTTACGCATGTTTTAAAGACCACCCCTAGTAAGGAAAGCACTTAAGTACATACTTAAGCTCCTTTCCTGAATTGGGGCCAGAGTAAGTAATAATCCCTTCTCAAATGTTGTGGAGGAAAGGATATTATTCTATATGTAATCTGTGTCACCCAATTTGAATGATGAATGATCAGCTCTCGTTTACTGAGAAAACATTTTTTAAACTAGAAATCTGCTCGTTTTAAGTGTACAAGTCAGGCCTTATTAAAGAACACTTACCTTACCATGGTTATTTATTAATTGTGAGGAAATTTGTGAAGCCCACCTTATGGTCCAAACTCCTAGCACAGAGACAAAGCCAGAGAAATAGACTCTTCAATCCCAATCTGAAGCAGCTGGCATGCACTTGGGCCATGGTTGCTACTACAGAATATTAGGGAATGTATCCCATGGATCTTTCCTGTGCAGGATTTTGGTCTCTGCACTCCTCTCTTAAGAAGTCCTCCACATTCCCCTTTTCACATTCCTGTACAGAAAGTCACCAGAGGGTGCATAGAGTAAACCTGCATGGGGCTCTCTGCCATCTGTCCTCTTTCCTCCAGTCAGAGGAGATGTAGCATTTATGCTGAGTTTGAAGCTTAGAAGTTGTCACTAAGACCGGGTCAAATCAGTGCTATCAACCTTCACTTACATGAGCACTAACATTCACTGACAGTAAAAAAAAAAAAAAAGAAAGCAAGCTGTGATGGGATAAATATATTATTGTTTGAAATTAAATCTTGGCTTCACTTGAGCATTTCAATACAAATTTTAAACTCTCCTCGGGTATCTTGTTCTGTAGGTATCAGTTGCCATCATAATTCTATTCAAGCTGGTGAACTGAATTTTGTTTTCTTATTTCATATCACTATCAAAATACTTCTTACCAAGGAGAATACAGTAAGTATAATCGCTTTGCTCCATTATGTAAGAACTCAGAGGAAGGAACCCCTTTTTTTAGTATTTGCACAGGATTTGGGGAGCTGAGAGTCTGACAAGAGAATCTCTTTCACACAGGACTGGTGGTTCTGTGGAAGTTCTATGGTTTGAATAAGACATGCTTTGGATCTAACCCAAACCTGTGGATCCCTGGCCAGACATGAAGGCTTTCCCCCACCCCCAGTGTTGCTTTCGGTATCTTTTTCCTATGACATCTGGACTAGTTTATTGCCTATACTGTTGTTGTGGTCTCTGGTCTCTGTCACAGAGGGCCCAATTCTAATCTTACCTACACTATGTTTACACTTGTGGAACTCCATTGGCTTTGGTAGAATGACTCCCAATTTATGCAAGTGTAAGTGATATTAGAATTAGACCCAGAGTACAGAGGAATAGTTAATGCTGTTCCACATAGAAAAGGGTACAGAGAAATATAACGATCGGCTGTTATTTGACTGGGCATGACCCCCTTTTCTGTGCAGCATTTTTGTAAAAGGAAGAGTTGCTGCTGCCTGGAGCAGGAATATTCTGCATAACCACATTCTCTTCCACATGGCCTGCCAGAGATATGAACTTTTCTAAAATTTTGCTTCCCTCCTTGCTGCTCAGTGAATGGGAACAAAAGGATCTAGTTGATCAAAGAACTAACCACTTACCTGAGACAGAGTCATCTATTTCATTGCCTATAGCAGTCAGGTTAGGCTCAGGACCAGGAAGACCCAGCTGGTTTCTTTTAAGTTTTACAATGGTTACTCGAGCAATAGGTGGCAAACTTTTTAGCTTGGGATAATAAAATGAGTTTGCTGGGTGACTTGGAGAGGAACAAGTGATCTATGAATTAAAAATAAAAGGAAGTTTATAGAAATAGTATTGCCATGTTAGTAAGGATAGAAATTTTAAACAGAATATCATGTTTTAATTATGCTTCTGGGCAAGTAAAACATATATGAACGGGGGATGTACAGCCTTTACGAACCCGAGCCCCACAAAAAAGCTGTGATTTCTGTCATGAAGATAATCCCACTAACTTTTGTGGAAGGATTCTGGGACTGAGATCACACAAGAAATTGTGGCTATTTTTGGATGGAGATACTGGATGGAGGGTAGTCAGCATGCACAATAATGCTTGGAGCAGGTTGATGGAGGAGACAGGAAGTTGTAGGTAGGGAATGCTGGCAGTGGCAAGGTTACTGACTGGGGCATAATGTAGTAGATGTGGTATGGTTATAAGGGGTCACAGAGGATTGTGCTTCAGCTTCTCTAGTCTTTCCGACTCCCGCAAGCACTACATTCTGCTCTAGGAAAGCACTTATTAAACATGAGAAGGAATTGGCTGAGTGCTGACTTTATTAAGGGATGTAGGGGCAAGGTAGTCCATTTCTCTCCACCTTTAAACAACAGCTCCCTGAAACAAAGTAAGGCATAGACCGAGCGTGGAAAGGGCAGACAAGACTTACAGCAGGGGAAGGGCAGTAGCAGTAGGAAAAAAAAAAGTTTGAGCAAAGCTTCCTCTTCCTTTCCATTAGCTCATTTCCCTTAGATGCTAGCAGCTGCCAAGTTTTGGCAATTCTCTCAGAAAACTTCCCCTCCCCCGCTGCAGGCCACATGGCAGTTGCAAACCCCAGAGATTCCCTAATACAGATAAATATCTAGCCCAGACCAACCCAGCAAGCTCTTTTCAGCATAGTTTTAGTTTTATAAATGTATCTAGCTTTTTTAAAAGCATGTAATCAAAAAAGCATGCATTTCTGTTTTACAGAATTTTAGATGACAGTGCAAAATAGAAGTATTATGATCCTAGATATAACGAATAACATTTCAGACACATGGATTTGCAAACACAGAGAAAATAAACGGACATCAACCAAACGAATGCTAAGTGCTATCACTGTGGAGCTCCGGCTAAGTCATAAATCCAGATACAGCACTAAATATTAAAATCATTTTGCAAAGAAAAAAAAGTTCATGTTATAATTTCATAAGTTATTTTTAAAAGAAAAAAATCATAATATACAGGTATGACATAATACATATTCATATGTATATAACATACATACACTTACTTCTGTAACAGTGTCCTGTGGAATAGTGGCAAAGTTTGGTGAGGAAAATGTGAAACCACTGTCTGTTCCAGCATCATATGGAAAAAGTTCTACTGTTTCTTGTTCTTTCCAATGATCTCCTTCACATAGATTTAGACTGTCAACACCCACAAACCAATCAGGGCTGGGCACAATTCGTACAATAAAAGAAACCTACGAAGTGAAAGAAAAACATCATAAAAAATAACTGTCACCTGCCAGTCTCTACAGGCTTGGCTATCAGGGTCTGATTTCTAGTATGGCAATGGGTCAAACATATTTCTGACTATTTTAGTTGAGGGTTTCTAAAAGAAAATATTCCAGACTGCTTTTTTATTTCATTTTATGTTCAAAAAGTTCTTTAAAACTGGATTCTCTTAGCAATTCCTTGCATTATATTGATACTTATCAGTGGCATTTCAAATATCTCCTTTTGCATCCTGCTGGTATAAAACTAGTAAGCAACCCTTAAAATGAAAATGTAAATGTACGTACTAAGGAGTGTCTTGAATGTGCTTCTAATTCCGTGAAGGTTTGTCCTGTACCACTGGAAATGGCAGGAGCTGAGAAGATTCCATGCACACTTTGAATTTTTTCTCCAGCTGCTTCTATTTCCTTCATTAATGTCCATGCTTCACCCTTTTCAGCAAAATCACGCACACCATTGCTGGCATATTCATCCTTTTTCCACATGTTATAGTCAGAACTATGGGTAACACCTATTTAAGGGAACACATTTCTCAATATAAAAGTCTACTTTGGATTATCTTAATTGATACAGTTTCTCTGTTTTATTTCTGATGTGGAACAATTTGGGGATTAATATTTAGGATTTTGTAAAACATTTAACTTACCACTGTTTACCTCAGCTGTAGCCAATTGAAAACTGAAGCCAACTGAAAACACTTTTAGATTCTCTAAGTATTTTGAATGCTGCAAGTTCTGTATGTTACTGTTTAGCTGTCAAGCTACATTAGTTTTGACTTTCATTTTACTAAAGGGAATTCTCAATAAATTCAAATAAAGAACAACCCCCCCACAACTGTAGAGAGTTTTGTCTGGTCTTGACACTGCACACACTTCACTTACCTAGCAAGGAAGACCACTGTGCTGGAGGCCTATAAAGGGGATACTGCTTAGGGAAAGCAGCCTGACTCCATTTCCCTACAAAGAGTATGCTGTACTTAGCAACTTCCTCTGCTGTGCAAACAGAATCATCACCCACAGGCAGACAGCTGGTATAGCCTAAAATTGTTATAAGCAGCGTCCAGATAACTTTACAGGATCTGTTGCCAAGCATCAGGTTTTCCATTTCCCTACACATGGAAACGGAAAAAAAGTGTCCATGTTAGCCTTATTAGTCACTGTAGACTCAAAACGGAATAACTGTAGCCCAATGAAATTTAATATAGCATAAGTTTTGAACTAAAAGAAAATATACATACAAAGCATCTAAAAAACTAATGCATCTAAGAACATATAGGACTTCCAGAATTGAAGTTTCCATGCAGTAAGTTACAAAGCTGTAACTCTATCTAGGACAACTGTTTCTAATGGAAAATAAAAAATATCTTAAACTTGTTCATGGTAATATGAGGAAATATGTTTTTGATTTTCTTTTAAAATCTTATTAGAATCACATCTTGAATTAATTAGACTGGTAAATGTTGCTGTAAAAACATTAATGATACATTTATTATTTTAAAGATTAAATTAAATTAAATAAAGCATGGAGAAGTAACATAAAAGTTGAAGCAGAATTTTTAGAACAGATTTAAAGTCAAATACATTACAAATATAATATGTTACTTTGCTATCATATTTGCTATGAAAAAACATTTAAAAATTAACATAATTGCAAAGGAGTGAAACTCAGTTGTTCAAAATCCTCCTTTTTAAATGCTTTTGTCCTTAGAGAAAACTGCATAAGCATAATTGAAATACTAACAGTTGTGTAATACATTAATTCATTAAAAGAGGTTTGAGTACTCACTAAATATTTCCTCTGGAGCTCATATACGGTGGAGAGCACCTGCTTTTGCTGGCAGCTGAGCTGTTCTGCAAGAGAGGACAGTAGGAGTCTTGCTATTTATGCCTGAAGAGGGTCCGTTTGGTCCAACAGTTATCGTAACCTTTAGACTTTCCAGTTTAACAAAATGAATTCCATACTGTTGCTTGATTTTTTTTATGGACTTCCAGAATCTCCTGGATGCCGGTTGCTTCAGGTTTCTATTGGGAAACTGTGGTGCTGACTAGACACAGAATGTTTTTTAAAACTATCTTAGATTATTACCAACAACTCAGGTTTTCTGGTGACTGTATAGTTCTCTGTACATCTTATTAATGCTTCTAAGCTATAAAAATGAACTGAGTCCAAAACTAAAATTGTTCTGGTGGAAATGCTTTAAATGAGAAGCATATTTCCTAGTAAGTTTTATTGTCTGACAGATGCTGCTTCCAAACATTTACAGAGAGCGCTCTCACTCTCACATACCATATGTACATGTTCAAATAAGAAGGTGAAAACAGCTAAACAAATCTAGGGAAAGAGACTTAAATCATTTTATATAGTCACACATATCAACATTGCAAACACAAATTAATTTAAAATAGAACAGTATATATCTTTGTTGGCAACAATACTGGACACTGTATGATGAAAGGGCTCTGTAATATTGTGGTTTATTTGGAAGGAGTGGTTTTTGGAAGCTTCTTCAAGATTTCTCTTAGCTGTCTACTCTTTAAAGTAAAAATCGTAGATAATCTTAGTAGTAGTTAAATCATACGTATTCTGTAGTGACATACATACACTCACATCACTAAACATATTTGTTTTCTATGCAAAAATCTATAAATACTAAGCACAGTTAAGTTAAACAGTTAATACTCATTTTTAATTCTTTCCACACTGCCTTTCCAAATGCCCTTAGGAAAAAAGGGCTTGTTAGAACGTCTGAAGTGTGACTGTCAAGAGTCAGTTCAAAAGTCAAGTACACATCATGAAAAATGCTGTTCCAGGAGACCTTCCCATTGAAATTGTGGGGTATCTAGCGTGAACATTTTCTCTGATCACAAGCATTAGAGCACGGGACAAAGGCAATCATTTCTCAATTAGCAAAACCCCAGGTTATGATGGGTTTATAGGTTAAACCCTGCATTTTATATTCTGCAAGGAGGTTTGCAGACAGCCAGTTTTAGCTCAAAGGCATTACTAAAACTAGGGACAGATTGTCCCTTCCATGGAAAACCCATTGGAAGTGGGGAGGAAAACTGAGATTTATGTCATGAAGTTTACCTAGATTATTCTGTCTGGGGAGTGGGGTTTGTAATGAGGCAGCTGAACAGTGGAGGTGTCAGCCACCAGTACCCATAATTCCTGAACATTTACATGGATTTCATGAAATTCACTGGCAGCTAGGGCCATCTGTGCATGGTGTGATCTAAGGACCTCTTGATGCTGACTGGTAGAGGGCACAGAGGTGCATAAGGGTTACAAGGATCCCCTGGATCTGGTATTTACATTCTAGTTCACCAATGGGTGTCATGTAAGGTGCTTCTTTGAGTGATTGCAAATGTTTATTCCACACAGGTATGCACACACCTCGTGTGCCCAAAGCCAGAGAACTTTGCTGAGCAGTATCTGTTGGGGCGACACATATGCCCTTGGAACTCCATAACCTCTTCCATGGCTATTTAAGGGCCACACCACCTCAACTCCCCTCAGTTCTTTCTCACCACCTATGGCTTGAGTCAGAGCATTCCATGTGGTATAGAATCGTAGGATTGGAAGGGACCTTGAGAGATCATCTAGTCCAGTCCCCTTCACTCATGGCAGGACTAAGGATTATCTAGACCATCCTTGACAGGTGTTTGTCTAACCTGCTCTTCAAAATTTCCAATGATGGATATTCCACAACCTCCTTGGGCAACTGATTCCAGCGCTCAGCTCATGTTTTGCTATCACAGTACTTTTTCTGTGAATGCATGTGCATAGTTATAGTAAGTTACAGTAGTACCCTTAGTATTTAGTTAGTAGTAATTTAGTTAAGGAGAATTTAGCTTGGTACAATGCCCTCACCAGGTTTTAAGCACTGCCTATTGTGTGAGGATGGTTATCCCTACACACTTGGTACTTATTGTGCCTTGGAGAAGGGCACATTAAAGAAAAGTGCTTCATTTGTAGGTCATTCAAAAAGAGAATGCAGGTGTCTAGAGACCTGTGCTTGAAGCAACACCTTTTGTAGCAGGCAGCGTGGCCCACTTTGGCACGAGGGGCCTCCACAGATCATCTGCCCCCTCAGAGAACTTCAGAACTGGCATTGGCTGTTGTTCCACAGCCAGAGTTTGATTCGTCTCTGAGGAGAAAGAGAGCTCATTTTCCTTCACTGGGCCCTCCAAGGAGAAGGACTCACAAAACTAACCAGAGCCACTCCACAGCTCAGAGAGATTCCTCCTCCTCTTCTAAGAGGAGTGCAGGCTGGCACCAGGATTCCTCTGATGCACAGGACAGAGCTGAGCCATCTACCTTCTCTCTGGTACTGAGACCAGAGCAACTGAACACCATGTCATCATTCTGGTACCATCCGTGTGGTGTCCAGCACGAATAACATTGGTGTCAGCATCAAAATTTTGAACTCCACAGATATATCAGGTAGCATCAAACTTGTTCTGTTCCTGACTCTCTCAAATCAGGAGCACTCTGCCATGGTGGTCTCTTCTGCTGCCTCGGCACCACCTGGACTAGTTGCAGAGTATATGTTGTTACCATCTTCAGCATTGTGTAAACGCTAGGACATGGAGCTGAGATTGGACTCTTTATTGGTACCAATGGGCTTGTTGGGGCAGATACTGTCTTCTGTACCAACAACAATTTTGGGATTTGCAGAATTGGTACTACTCTGACTGCGGTACTGACATCTGTTTTGGTGCCAAGTGTTAGTACAATTCCCCTACTAGTACTGAAGGCACAGGTTGCCTTCAGTACAAACACAGCCTGCCTACCAGACATCATCTGAGTTTGGATGTTTGCTTACTCCACCAGGAACGGCCCCTTTGTTGACATCAGACTACTTGGAATGTTCTTCACACTCAAGCTCATTTTCTGCCTCTCCCTCTCCTTCCAAGTACCATTCTTGAAAGCCTTTGAGTCTTCTGGGGGATCAACATAGATACTGGGATTGGCACTGCTCTCACGGTAGGGGTAAGGGCTCTTGGTCCACTTCCTACGAGTCATCCAGTGCTGTATCCTGTTCCTCAGTGGCCTCTGTGGAACTCTTGGGATGTTCCTCTATCTGCAAGGTCACAATCCTCTGCCCAGACCAGAGGAAGGTCAACGAACTCTTTGGTAATCTCGCCTCCAAGCCACCCAGGCTGGAGACACAGACTGATGTTGCTCCATCTGAACTGGTTCAGCCTGAACCATTGTTCAAGAGCAGGTATTGATGCAGGAGGTCTGATTGGCTCTATTTTCTTCCTCTTTTTCCTCGCCAGATGATTCCACAGTGCTGGATTTGTCTTCTCCTATGCCTGAGGATTGTAGGTGTTCTCAAGAACTCCTGAGGCAAATGGCTACAGCCTTGGGCATTCAGGATGAGTTTGTTCAGTAGAATAGCCATAAATTGGTGGACATTATTCAACTGTTGGCACCAGGGAGGGCAGCTCTCCCTATAAATAAACCTATTTTGGAACCCATAAAGACCTTGTGGCATCCCCCAGCTTCCTTACCTTCTATAGTGAACCATACAGATAAGTGGTACTATGTCCCCATGCAGGGGTATGAGTGGGTTTAGTCCCATTTGGCCCCTAACTCTCTTGTTGTAACAGTGGCAAATGAGAGGTTGTAAAAAGGGAGGTATAAGTTGACACCTAAAGAAGTCTAAGAGGTTAGATTTAATGGGAAGGAAGATTTATTTTATCTCCGCACTATAGATGTCCATTGCTAATCAACAGGCTAATCAATAATAATATGTATTATCAACATATGACCAGAGCCACTTTTTCAACTTGATGGAATAAGGATAATCAATGGGATACAGTAATACCATGGTACAAAATATATCAGAAGGACAGAACAAGTTGTGCTGGTGGGGGAGTGGCATTTGTGAAAGAAAGCATAGAATCAAATGAAGTAAAAATCATAAATGAATCAAACTGTACCATAGAATCTCTATGGATAGAAATTCCATGCTTTAAGAATAAGAATATAGCGGTAGGGATATATTACTGACCACTTGACCAGGATGGTGATAGTGACTGTGAAATGCTCAGGGAGATTAGGGAGGCTATTGAAATAAACAACTCAATAATAATAATGGGGGGTTTCAATTATCCCCATATTGACTGGGTACATATCACTTCAGGATGGGATGCCGAGATAAAGTTTCTTGACACCTTAAATGACTGCTTCTTGGAGCAGCTGGTCCTGGAACCCACCAGAGGAGGGACAATTCTTGATTTCGTCCAAAGTGGAGCACAGGATCTGGTCCAAGAGGTGACTATAGCTTGGTAATAGTGGACCGCTTGGTAATAGTGACCATAATATAATTAAATTTAATATCCCTGTGGCAGGAAAAACACCACAGCGGCCCAACACTGTAGCATTTAATTTCAGAAAGGGGAACTACACAAAAATGAGGGGGTTAGTTAAACAGAAATTAAAGGGTACAGTGCCAAGAATGAAATCTCTGCAAGCTGCATGGAAACTTTTTAAAGACACCGTAATAGAGGCTCAACTTAAATGTATACCCCAAATTAAGAAAATAGTAAGAGAAACAAAAAAGGGCCACCATAGCTAAACAAAAAAGTAAAAGAAGCAGTGAGAGGCAAAAAGGCATCCTTTAAAAAGTGGAAGTTAAATCCTAGTGAGGAAAATAGAAAGGAGCATAAACACTGGCAAAGGAAGTGTAAAATTACAATTAGGAAGGCCAAAAAAGAATTTGAGGAACAGTTAGCCAAAGACTCAAAAAGTAATAGCAATTTTTTTTAAAGTACATCAGAAGCAGGAAGCCTGCTAAACCACCAGTGGAGCCACTGGACGATCGAGGTGCTAAAGGAGCACTCAAGGACGATAAGGCTTGAGAAACTAAATGAATTCTTTGCATCGGTCTCCATGGCTGAGGATGTGAGGGAGATTGCCAAACCTGAGCCATTCTTTTTGGTCTTTTTAGGTGTCAGATCTAAGGAACTGTCCCAGATTGAGGTATCATTAGAGGAGGTTTTGGAACAAATTGATAAATTAAACAGCAATAAGTCACCAGGACCAGAGGGTATTCACCCAAGAGCTCTAAAGGAACTCAAATGTGAAATTTCAGAATTACTAACTGTAGTCTGTAACCTGTCATTTAAATCAGCTTCTGTACCAGATGACTGCAGGATAGTGACACCAATTTTTAAAAAGGGCTCCAGAGGTGATCCCGGGCAATTACGGGCCTGTAAGCCTGACTGGGCAAACTTGTTGAAACTACAATAAAGAACAAAATTGTCAGACACATAGATGAACATAATTTGTTGGGAAAGAGTCAACATGGTTTTAGGGTAGCAGCCGTGTTAGTCTGTATTCGCAAAAAGAAAAGGAGTACTTGTGGCACCTTAGAGACTAACCAATTTATTTGAGCATAAGCTTTCGTGAGCTACAGCTCACTTCATCAGATGCATAAAAGTGGAAAATGCAGTGAGGATATTTTTATACACACAGACCATGAAAAAATGGTTTTAGTAAAGGGAAATCATGGCTCACCAATCTACTAGAATTCTTTGAGGGGGTCAACAAGCATGTGGACCAAGGGTATCCAGTGGATATAGTGTTCTTACATTTTCAGAAAGCCTTTGAGAAGGTCCCTCACCAAAAGCTCTTACTCAGAGTAAGCTGCCACGGGATAAGAGGGAAGGTGCTCTCATGGAGTGGTAACTGGTTAAAAGATAGAAAACAAAGAGTAGGTATAAATAGTCAGTTTTCAGAATGGAGAGAGGTAAATAGTGGTGTCCCCCAGGGGTCTGTTCTGGGACCAGTCCTATTCAACATATTCATAAATGATCTGGAAAAAGGGGTAAACAGTGAGGAGGCAAAATTTGCAGATGATACAAAATTACTGAAGATAGTTAAGACCCAGGCAGACTGAGTAGAACTACAAAAGGATCTCTCAAAACTGGGTGACTGGGCAACAAAACGGCAGATGAAATTTAATGTTGATAAATGCAAAGTAATGCACATTGGAAAGCATAATCCCAACTATACATATAAAATGATGGGGTCTAAATTAGCTGTTACCACGCAAAAAAGAGCACTTGGAGTCATTGTGGATTGTTCTCTGCAAACATCCACTCAATGTGCAGTGGCAGTCAAAAGAGCAAACAGAATGCTGGGAATAATTTAAAAAGGGATAAATAATAGGACAGAAAATATGACATTGCCTCTATATAAATCCATGGTATGCCTGCATCTTGAATACTGTGTGCAAATGTGATCAGCCCATCTAAAAAAAAATATATTGGAATTGGAAAAGGGCAACAGAAATTATTACGGGTACGGAATGGCTTCCGTATGAGGAGAGATTAATAAGACTGGGACTTTTCAGCTTGGAAAAAAGATGGCTAAGGAGAGATATGATTGAGGTGTATAAAATTAATTTAATTTGGTGACCCCTAGTTCTTGTGTTAAGGAAGTGTTGTTTACTACTTCTCATATCTACTTTCTCTACACCAGTCATAGTTTACTACTTCTCATAACACAAGAACATTGTACATTCATACACATTGTGAAGAGAGTGGTCACTTTGGATGGGCTATTACCAGCAGGAGAGTGAGTTTGTGGGGGGGGGGGGCGGAGGGTGAGAAAACCTGGATTTGTGCTGGAAATGGCCCAACTTGATGATCACCTTAGATAAGCTATTACCAGCAGGACAGTGGGGTGGGAGGGGGTATTGTTTCATGGTCTCTGTGTGTATATAATGTCTACTGCAGTTTCCACGGTATGCATCCGATGAAGTGAGCTGTAGCTCACGAAAGCTCATGCTCAAATAAAGTGGTTAGTCTCTAAGGTGCCACAAGTACTCCTTTTCTTTTTGCAAAGACAGACTAACACGGCTGTTACTCTGAAACAAGAACTAGGGGTCACCAAATGAAATTAATAGGCAGCAGGTTTAAAACAAATAAAAGGAAGTATTTCTTCACACAACGCACAATCAACCTGTGGAACTCCTTGCCAGAGGATGTTGTGAAAGCCAAGACCATAACAGGGTTCAAAAAAGAACTACATAAATTCATGGAGAATAGGTCCATCAATGGCTATTAGCCTGGATGGGCAGGAATGGTGTCCCTAGCCTCTGTTTGCCAGAAGCTGGGAATGAGCAACAGGGGATGGATCACTTGATGATTACCTGTTCTGTTCATTCCCTCTGTGGCACCTGGCACTGACCACTGTCGGAAGACAGGATACTAGACTAGATAGACCTTTGGTCTGACCCAGTAGGGCAATTCTAATGTTCTTATGTTATAGAACTCTGCCATAGCTCTCAAGGTTCAACAAAGTATAAAGGATTTACCCTTCAATGGTCAGTTCTTGTTTTCCAAAAAGATTAATGAGACACTGCATTCCTTTAAGGACTCTACGGCCACAGTATGTTCATTGGGGGCTATACCAGAAGTTAAGAGTCATCACTATGGAGCTCAGCAACCGCAGCAGCAATATTGTCAATATTCCCAGAAGTACTTCAGGCAGATGGCTTATCCTGCTAGGCAGCAGGACTTCTCCTTGAGAAGACAAGTCAGAAAGGAGAAGGCCCTCTGGTTACAACTTCAACCAACCACCAGCTCATCCTCCATCAGCTTTGCACAAACGGCCAATGTGACTCTCCTCTCAAGGGCAGCATACCAGTCATCAACTTCCTGACCGTACTGCCTCCATTTGGGAACAGGCTGTCCCACTTCTACAGTACTTGGGAAACAATAACCACAGACAAATGGGTCCTAAGAACTGTGATCAGGTAATGCCATCCAATTCTTGTCCATCCGCCCTCTTCCCACTCCTCTACACTGTCCCTTTCCAGGGACCCCTCTCATGAGTCACTGCTTTGTCAGCAGATTCAGACTCTGAGATTCAGGAGCCATAGAAGAAGTTACCCTTCAGTTTTGGGAAAAAGGATTCTACTCATGTTATTTCCTGATCCCCAAGTCGAAGGGAGGGCTGAGACCTATTCTTGACCACTGAGATATCAACAAGTACATCATATATCAGATTCTGTATGTAGCTACAATCTTCCCTGCATTGGATCAAAATGACTGGTTTGCTATCCTCGATCTGAGAATTCCTACTTCCACATGTGATTTTCCCAAGCCACACGAAATTTCTTATAATGGCAGATCAACATTATCAATAAACAGTACTCCTGTCTGGCCTGTCCTCAGCCCCATGCATATTTACGAAATGCATGACTGCAGTCACAGCCTCTCTCCTCTTCCCATACCTGGATGATTGGTTAGCGAGGGCAAATTTGAAGACCAAGTCTTTAAACTTCACTTCATGCTGAATCTCATCAAGTTGTTGGGACTGATTTTGAACAGGGGAAAGTGAACAGAAAAAAATGGAGTTCATCGGGGCCATACTAGACTCTACAAGTTTGAGAGCTTTTCCCCTGCACAAGCGATTCCAAACAATTCATCATCTGTGTCTGTCCTTCCAATCTCGTCATTCAACTTCAGTCTGTGTGCCTGGGCACATGCAGTTATTTAGTCCACCCTGAGAGATTGCGCCTTCATCCACTTCAAAGCTGGTTAAAATGTGTCTGTCTATCTCCTGAGTTCAGCTTCGTAAGGGTGCCACTGGCGATCCTGGAGCCCCTAGAGTGGTGGACAGACCAAAACAATGTATGATAGGATGTATCCATTGCCCATCCTCCACCGATCAAGACTACAGCTACTGATATCTCCACAATAGGTTGGAGACTGCATCTAGAGACTTTGAAAGCTCACTCCAAGCAGCTTTGTCAAGAAGCAATAAAGCTGTGGCTTTTCTGCATCAAGGAATGCATTATTCTCATGGCGACTCACTTACCAGGAGCCAGAAGCAGTTGGCTGATCACCTCAGCAGGTATTTCTCCCAGAATCATGAGTAGCCCCTGAAATGCAGTGTTCTGAGGCCCATCTTCAGAGAATGGGACATTCTGTCTGTTGACCTGTTTGCAATAAATAAAAAAAAAAACCAAGAAGTGACATCAGTTTTGGTCACAAGCAAGTCTCAGTCTAGGCTCTTTCACCAATACCTTCCATCTGAACTGGGGATCAGTACTGCTGTATGCCTTTCCCCCACAATCCGCTCATCCTGCAGCGGATTCTCAAACTGAAGCGGATCATTCCAAACGGATACTCATTGTGCCAGCTTGGTCAAGACAATGTTGGTTCTCCAAATGCCATAGTCTATCTGTTCGGCCTCCCACACCTCTTCCCCCGCTTCCTGACTCAACACCCTGGTCAGACACCTGACACTGAACACTCTGTACTCGTGGCATGGACTCTGCATGGGTAGACAAGGAGGAAGGTTGATGTTCAGAAGCACTTCAGTTAGCCCTATTTTAACAATAGAAAACCCACTACGATATCTCTCTATTCTGCCAAGTGGAAGCATTTTTTAGTTTGGTCCAGTCTCATGGAATTCAGCCAATGCTAGTATGCATTCAGGACATTTTGGATTACTTGATACATCTTAAATCCTCTCTCAGCTTTTTGAGGGTCCACTTAGCAGCCATCTTGGCATTCCATTCTCCAATCCTGGGGAAGTAAATTTCTTTTAACTCCATTGTAGTCCAAGTTCTAAAAAGTATTGTCCATCTCTTTCCACCTGTGATAGAAGCGGTTCAATTGTGGAACCTCAACACTGTACCAGCTGCCCTCATCAAACCTCCATTTGGGCCTCAAGCAACTTGTTCTCTGTCCCTTTTGCCAAAAAACAGCTTTTCTTATTGCCATAATATTCACAAGGAGAGTAAGCAAACTGCAGGCTCTAACGGCAGGGCCTCCACATACACAATTTTTCAGAGACAAAGAAATAGATAAGTTCATGGAAGAGGTCCATCAAAAACCAGTGACTGAGATTAGGGCACAGATGGAGACTCATGGCCCCCCAGAAACGACGACAGACATACATCAAGAAGGCTAGCTGTAGGCTCTGGTACTGATGCATGTACCATTGAGACCAGCTCCATCTAAGGTATTAGACACACTACCTTCAACACAGCCTCAAACTTTATTGGTACCAGTGACACCGGAAGTCTATGCAGTAGTATGAGATTTCCTTTGCCTTTTGATTCCAGACTCCCTTTTGCTGCAACAGGATTTGACTGGGATTACATAGGTGCTATAGTTGATATTACAGCCAGATGACCTTCTGACACCGTCAACATAGCATGCAGCATCCCCAGCACCTACAAGTCTTCCTACACTGACCTTTTCTAAGCAAACAGTAGTACTGGGACTTAAATCATCAAAATCTCCTTCTGTACTGGAATACAGACCAACCTTTAATGATTGGTCATCTACAGCATTAACTGGGGATGGATTCTTCACTCAAGTACTGGAAAGACTTGCAGGAGGCCTTCTTCCCACTGCTCGCCATCTCTTCAGTCCTCCACCTTCTGTAGTTTCGAGGCCTTCTCCCCTGTCATTCTTATGCTGAGTGAGGAAGGTTTCCCCTTATCCAGCCTGTGCTGTGAAGGTTTAGGGACACATCTCCACACTAAAAAGGCTTTCAGAAAGGGTTAAAATCTGCAGGACTTATGGTCCCTTTCTTACTCTCTGTGCCTGCACTCTATAACAAAATGGTCACTCAGGCAAAACTATAACTACTACCAAATACCCACCTGGCTGTGACTGGGTGCCTGGAATGGGGCTCATAATAATTACGCTGATACCAGTCCTTTAGTTACTAAAAACTAAAGGTTTAATAAAAAAAGAAAAGAAGAGAATTATAATATACATACAAGTGATTGCAAGTCATATACATACAAGTGGTTGCAAAGTCCTTATATCAGGTTTGTAGCAGAGATGGAATAAACTGCTAGTTTGCAAAAGTCTCTCTGGAACCACGCAAACAGATTGGGGGTCATCAGTCCTTGTTAGAAATCCAGTCCAGAGAAATGAAGCAGGAAATGAAAACCAAATGGAGATGTCTCAAGTGCCTTTTTATATCTTCTGCCACGTGCATGGAAATTTACTGTCCTAACGAAAGTCCACAGCCCCTGGTGTGGAGAATTACTGGACCAAGATGGAGTCCAGGGTCACTTGAGCATATAACATGTCCATACATAGTTTACTGAATTACAGGGGGTGGCCACTGGCCCCCTCAGAGTCTGAGGCATCTACAGGAAGAGCTACTGTGTGGCTGTGTTCCCTCTAAGGTGCGTGGTCACACGGCCACCCAGGAATGAATCTAGTGCCGCGCACTTGGTTAGCAGAGCCATGCATGGTGGCATGTGTTCAGGTACTCACCCCACTGCTCCCCAGCCACATTGCTCCTGCCCTCTGCCTTGGAGCCCCTGGCCAGCTGCTCCCGGGCCCCTCCTGCTTGCTGTGCAGAGTGGGGGGGGAAGGAGGGGAGGTGATGTCAGGGTGTTCCCCTCCTGCACCTCTCCCTACCCATGTACCCACCTCTGCAGAGTGCGGGACAGGGCTCAGGAGTAGGAGAGCTCAGCTGTTGTCTGAGCCTTCTGGTGTGTGAGTGCCTTAAAGAGACAGTGCACGGTCTCTCATAGACTTCCCCAGCAGCCAGTGCGCCCACACACACACACACACACACTCTCTCTCTCTCTCACACGCTCACCTCCCAACACATACTTGTATTATTGTTGTTACTTCTTGGTACTTCCTGCAATGCACATATATTCTCTGTAATTTTATTCTTTCAAAGTGTATTATTTTATTTTGACTTGTCTATGCATTTCATAATTTTATTTCTCTTTTATGCTTAAATTTAATTCTTTGAGTAGCGAGTTCTAAAATGTCTAACCTGTCCTGGCTGGAGTAATTATCCCTATAGTAACTTTTTAAAAATATATGTTATATCTAGGTTTTTTTGTTTCTACTGGCGGTGCACATCGGCACATTACTTTGATGTTGGTGCACATAACAAAATTCATTCCGTACACGATGGAAAAAATTAGAGGGAACACTGCTGGGTGGGATGAGTTTCATTGTTAGAGTGAAGTGTTCTTAATGGGACATCAACACATAGCTGTCTAGCCTGGATGCAAATCTACTTGGAGGGGTGTCACCCAGGAATACAACACATGTGTAAGATACAAGCACATAGCCAATATTTATAACTTCAGATACAATGATGATACATGTGTACTCACAGGATAATCATACTTAGCAAATCATAACTTTTCCATCAACACCTTATATGACATATTTTGTACACTATTTGTTGTAATTGTGTAACAGTGGTAGCAACAATGACACAAATGGTCATCTTTCTTATACACATCATCACACTGGTGACTGACGTTTGGTCAATCAGAAAAAAAATCATCCAGCATTAAGTTATCAGGAGACTGTTGACTATAGAGTCCCTGTGTCTTATTCCCTTGAATAATAATTGGGCTAGACACAATCAGACTTTCCAGCTTTGTGAAACGGCATCTCTCACAATGCCTATTTCAGCATTCCACAGTTGCAGAAAATTGTGGATTTCTACTCAAGAATAGGGTTTACTATTCATGGCTGGAAAGCCACGCATGCCAAATTTCTGTAGGTCAGCAGCTGGAGAAGAAAATTTCTGTGGGATCATAACCTATGCTTGCATTCCTTTTTCAATTTTTTTGCCCAGTTAAAGAGCAGCTGAAGCCTCATGGAAATCTTTGTAAAAAATCTTCCATTTAGAAACCCTTTTGCCTGTATATAATATTTTCGTTTTTTTCTTTCCTCTTTTGCATCAGAAAAGTATTTTGTTTCTTAAACTGATGTCTCCCTCCAGCATACCTAGCTTCCATCCATATCCAGCCCTCTTTTTACCCTGAGTTCTTGAGAGCAAGAGAGTAGGCACACAAGGAGTTTAAGGTTTATTTCAACACAGGACTATGCCTAGTGTTTTAGCTTACATGTGACCATGCACAGCTTCTGCTCATTCTGGTGGTGGAGAGTAACAATGTTGCACTTCCTGCTGTTCACACAAGATTTTGCAAGATCAGTGTTGGAAAATACATGATCAAATGATGTGTAGATAATTTGTGACTTTGCTGTAACAAACATTTAAACTCTAGTCATAATTTTAATTCTAAACCATTGGGGTTATTTTTACAACCTAAAATAGCAACAAAACAAGAAAATAGTTTAAAATATCCAGGATAGCTTTGTAAGAATAGCCAATATCGTGTCACTGTTTCAACAATCAATTTATACAATATGGAAAAAAAATGTCTGAACATAGTAAGACCAATTCTGCCCTCAGTTACCTGGCTGCAGATCACATTAAAGGGTGCAAGTTCTACTTTGATCAAAGTAAACTGAACCTATGGAGGGCATTGTTGTACCCCTTATATAAGAAGCAACAGCAGGACTGACATAAGTAGACGCTTATTATATGATGAAAATAAAGAAACAGGGATTAAATTAGATCTGCCATTTCTTAGGTTTGTTTGCTTGCCAACATGCAAAGCAATAGAATGAGAAATCCACTTGTGGTTTTTATCCATATTCCTGAACTATTGTCACATATTAAAAATTTACAATAACGACATCCATTTTGCTGCTACAGAATGTGTGTGCATCCTTGAATGTGCACAAGCTGTTTTAATAAGCCTATAAATATCTAGCATTTCTCGTCTTCCAAAAGAAACATAAATCTGTATTACTTAAGAGCACTTACACACCCATACCTTCTCTTGTAGTTACCATGGATACACATACTACGATGGATACTCAACAATGCCAAAAGGTTTACATTCAATCTGAGTCCTTCAGTCTGAGTTAAACAGTAAAACCTCAATAGGAGTGACGTAAGCAGCAGAATATTTTTGTATGATAAATAGTGGTGTAGTACTAGAGCCTTCTAAGTAGCACATCACGTGAAAAGGAGATCATGCATTATGTTGTGATGGGGGGAGTCCCTTCCAGGTTATGAATTCCCAAAATCTTACCCCTTACCTTTGGGAGTACAACCTTTCAACAGCCTTTGGGGAGGCAGGATTCACCCAGAAGTCATGCCAATGCCATTATCAGCAACAAGCAGTCAGCTTTATCAGCAACAGTCTCCTTTGTCAATCACAAATAGCCCCAGTGCCCCTCTAGGATCAGCTCGTTGGTCACTAATCAGGGGCCAACTTCCTTTTGGGCTCTGCCTGATCCTTACATGCAGTGCAGGCTCACCAGGACCACACTCACTGTTTCCTGGACCTATTTCCCAGCCTGAATTCCCGGTTTTCATCCTTCTGCGTCCCTGGTAACAATAGCAGTGGCAGCAGCCACAGCCACCATTACCCACATTACCCCTTCTTCTCAGGAGAGCTTGCAAAAGGAAGATGGGGAGGGACTTCCCTCCATTTCTCTACCCTACTAGAGCTCAGTGGGAGGGGAGGGGGCGTAGATCCCAGTTTCTCCTGTTTGCACATTGCCCTGCCAACCAGGGCTCTAGGGGCAAGACCATTTTTCACAGTGCTGTTGCTAATCTGTGGAGTTACTGTTCCACAATGTTGATTCAATGAACTATACAATCAGTATGACCTAGAAAAACTCTGAAATGAACTGAACATTTAGATGGCTCCAAAGATGAAGGCTAAAGCTTACAGAGCTGAGTGAAGATCAATGGGACACTATCTCCATATTTTTTTAATTTGCTGTGTTTGAAAGACTAGAAGAGATGTGTTTTGCACACTTCACTAGAGAAAAAAGATTTGGACAGAATTCAGAGTGTTTTGCATTGAAACTTCATTTAAATAACTTGACATGATACTCAAAATACCATACATCCAGATAATGTAAACATGATCTAAAGATTAATACATTATTTCATGTCCATAATTTCTAGGTTGGACTTGGCAAACAGCATGGTATAAGGAAACTTTATACCCATTCCAATATAGTTGCTTTCACATTCACTGAACGTGGATTAAAGAGGGTAACTGTTTGGCTTTTAATCTGCATCATTTAACATTTTTTTAAAGTTTAGTTTTCCTTGTTCAGTTTTTTCCCTCCATCCTTTTCTCACCTTCTCATCTTGCTAATGGATTTTCCTTCTTTCTAATCCTCATATGTTTGTAAATTCACTAGTTGAATCTAAGGCAGGAATGTCATTTCATGAGGTGCATCAGAGATAATACTCTACAGAATAGTCTGGGGGGGAAAAGATAATTCAAAATGAGTTTGTGGTGAGAGATAACAGGGCAGAAAACAACAACAAGATCATTCACACAGAGAAAAGTTGCTGAAGTTAAGGTATTTTTGTAGAAAACTTCTGTTTCGTCTTCTAAAAACTTCTTTGTTGAAATGGAGTAAGCCTCTGGTGTTACATGTTGTACCTCCTTTTTGCTATTGAGCCTTTATGCAGGGATAAGTAGGCATTAGACAATACCACTTATACATGAAATATGCTATTTAGTAAAATATGCCAGTCTTTTATTTCTTTGGCACCACTCCACAAGACTACCAAACATAATCTATATTGCTAATCCACTCATTACCACAACACATTTCACTTCTGAACATCTCTTGCTTTACAGGCTAATTAACTTTGTTGTCCTCACTTTTTAAAGCCAGTCTTAAATAGTATTATAGAAAAGAGCGATCCGTATTAAAAAAAAATAAAATCAGTTTCAGGCCTCAAATAATAACGCACTGTGAAAAATTGACTCTTTCATAGGCTCAGGATCTGGAAACAGATCTAATCCATGTATAAAAGGGGTTTTATGCACCACTGTACACTGATCCTCCTGTACCTGTTCAAGAATCAAGATCAATACAGAATAGACGGTGAACCTGGACTGGGGAAGGTTGGGCCAGTAACAGGGGGACCAACATTTTCCCCCGCTAGCTTCATGGAGATCAGAAAAGGTAGTTCAGCTGTAGTCTATATTACATTTCTCTTAAGCCCTCTCCACACCAAGGAATGTCCCTTCAGAGTAATTCTGGGGATTGTCATTACCAGAGGATGGCTTGCAAAGGGGGCCTGACTTGCCAAGGAGATCAGATGGCCTAACAGAGACATAATTTTCTAGAGTTATGCAGGAGAATCTCAGAATCTACTTTGTCCTCAGGGGACGGGGGTGGGGGGACGACCACAGCCCATTCTGTGGAGACACAAATTCCATCCCCTCAGAATGGTTTGTGGGAAACCTCATGAGGAAATCCTTGTGGAAATTTTCTCCACACCAGCATTCTCCCAAAGGTATTTTCATGAGACTGGATGACCGGGGCATCTTAACATGCTGTAACATCAGCTTCTTTCATATTGATATTCATAAAAATTGAGAGAACTGGTAACAATATCCTATTGGAGTTTTTAGATTGGAAAAGACTGCCAATGGTAGTCACATCATTTAAGACATTAAAACTGAACTAAACAAAGGCCTAGAGCGTATACGAATATTTAAAAAAAAAAAAGAAAAGAAAAGAAAAAACTTCAGGCATCAGGCAAAGTCCAAAAATTTTGTATGTGAGAGGTTCTTGTTGGGCGTTTAAGTTCACATACTGCGTATATATATATTTTTTGTCATCACTGCTTTACTTGGATATGAAAATGATCCAATATACATTGAGAAAAGTTAGAGCATTTGTTAATCCTGAACAGAGAGATCAGTTGAATAAGACAGTGGAGGAACTCTGGTATGCCATATATTCAAAAGCATCTTAGAAGTGGTAAAGAAAAGGAGCAACTACAGTATTGTGTAACAGAAACTAAATATTGTTTCTGATCTTAGTCCAGCAGCTCAAGCTAAAACAACTTGCGCCTCTTCAGAAAAGAATGACTGGGGAAAATGTTCCTACTGCCCTTTGCTTCCCAGCAAAACCCAGGGGACTGTGAAAGGAGAAGTCATATTTTCTAGGTCATGACTTATGCCAGGTATTTATTGCCAAAAAAAATCATATAATTCTGAAATGGAAGAAAAGGTGGACTATCCATTAAAGCAGTGGACTGCATAATTCTTTGTAACTGTTATTGTACTTCCAGTGTTGTAATCATATTGGTCCAAGGAGAGAGGCAAGGTAATATCTCTTACTGGACCACCTTATACCTTCCACCCAGAGAAGATGGTCCAGTAAAACATATTACCCTGCCTATCTTGTCTCTCTCATTATTGTATTATTACATATTTCTTAAGCACCAATAGTATGAAATACTGACAATTTTGACTTTGATTTTAAGATGGCATTGCCTATTAGTGATAACTGAATTTACCAAAGTGGTATATGATTAAATGTATTTTCTCTGTGAGTTATATATATTGCAAGTAGAAACGGATGTTAATTTAAATTCCAAATTAAACTTCAAGTGCTGCAGGAATTAGTTCTGATAACTTACCAAGTAGTTCTTACTTCTGAGTCATTTCTGAATCAATGTGCCTGTCTGGTGCAAGACTAGATTCTATATTCAGTTACACTGATATGAATATAGTTACTTCAGCAGAGGTGCCCGAGGATTACAACAACATAACGGTGGTCAGAATCTGGCCTGCTGTCTTTCATATGACAGATAAAACTGAGATCCTGACTTCTTTTGTCAGTAAAGATTCCATATCACTTTTCTGCATTGTAGACATGTTAAATATCAGTTGTTCTGGCCAAACTGTAATTTAGATAATAATATTCTACCTCTGAGTTCCTCCTGCAGATTCAATTAAAGAGGATATTCTTTTCTTGTTTTTTTTTTTGCTTCCTGACCTAACCTGTTGGGTAATGTTGGTGGACACACTGTTAAACTACTATTGCATTTCACTTTAGAGGTGGCTGCTGGGCAATGTAGTCCCTACCACTTATATCCCTAACATGCATGTCGTGAAGCTTACCTAACAAATGTTTGGAATGCAGTTGTAGGCATCTCGGTCCCAGGATATTAGAGAGACAAGATGGATGAGGTAGTATCTTTTATTAGACCAACTTCTGTTGGAAAGAGAAACAAACTTTCAAGCCACAAAGAGCTCTTCTTCAGGTCTAGGAAAGGTATTCAGAGCATCACAGCTAAATGCAAGATGGAACAGATTGTTTACATAAGTAGTTAGCACATAACTCTGCTAGACACTAAAAATCATGGACTGAACAGAGACACTGTATTTATGGTTTATTAAAACAATCTGTAACTACTAATCCCCCTTTTTGTCCTATGACTGAAGAGGTGTTAATGGGTCACTCTATCTTGACTGATCCCTTAGAACAGGTACTAACTACTTATCCTAAGCAATGTGTTCCATCTTGCATTTAGCTGTGACCCTTGGAATACCTTTCCCAGACCTGAAGAAGAGCTCTGTGTGGCTCGAAAGAGCCTCTCTCTCACCAACAGACATTGGTCCAGTAAAAGGTATTACTTCACCCACCTTGTCTTTCTAAATGTTTGGAAAGCACTTTGAGATCCTTGAAGGAAAGGAATAACTAGGAAAAAAAAGTATTAATATTCAATAACTGCTAAGGTTGGATAGGCACAAGGACTGGATAAAAAGACTTCAGTGATGATCCACAATGCCCTCTTCCTCAACCCCCTCCCTAGTTAGCCGTGTGGACTATAATAGGTACCAAAATCTCTTGCATGTAATTGTCACACCTCTAGTACTTAGATGAATGTACAGCGGTATGAAAATGCCTGAGTGCCTAAAATACCTGAAATTAGTCATCTAAATAAATAGCCTAATTTTCAGGGATAGTGAGCACTCCAAAACTGCAACTAAAATAAATCTGGGTTTTGTGTATACATGGAATGTAGGACCAAGCCCTTTGCTTTCAGAGGATTAGATTAAGTAAGGAAGCACCCTGACTTTTTGCCTATTACTCCCTCAGGGAAGTGTCAGAAATACCAGGACACAAACAGCAGAATAATTTCAAAATGTATTGATTTTTTCGAGCTGTACAGCATCCCCAGTAGCAACATAAATGTTTCTGCACTAATAGCTATTCCAATAGTTATACAAATAGAGTTACATAAAAATACATATTTCCCTGTCTGTACAACCAATTAGCCCTTCCATGATAATCAAGCACAGGAAGCTGCATTCAGTGCTACTTATATGGAAATGGCTGTGCTTGATATGATTTGCCCCCCCCCCATCATAATAAAGTTAATTAACATGCCACTTACATCTGTGAAAATAATAGCGAGCTAAATCCACTTGTGACTCTACAAAGTAATTTGTGGGTAAAAGTAGGTATGTTATGTCACTAAGCTGAGCCCAATATCACAGATGTAACTGCA